ACACAGCGTGAGCCTGGACTCCTGGCTCCTCTTCCCAGGTTCTGGGCCAGGCAGGGCAGCTGTCGGTGGCCTCCACTCCCTCCCTCCCAGCCCGCCGCTCCACAGGGCTCCAAGCAACAAGACAAGGTCTGAGGGCTGGGCCCCCTACGTGCCCTGCATCACCCTCACCCCCAGGTCTTCTGGGGTCTGGAGGCACGGTGGCTCCAGACAAAGCATCGCAAAAAAAAAGTGGCGGATCCTGGAAGCCCTCCCTACACTACCAGGAGCCAGCAGCGCCCTGTGAGGCAGTGGCAGGAGGGGCTGTGCTGAGACTCTAGGACCTTTCATAGATGCCCTGGGTGGCATCGAGCTGAAGAGAGCCCAGGAAGCTAGCTCCCGTTACAGGGGCCGGTCCCACCTAGTGCGCCACCCCGAGCTGCCTCCGTGTCCTGCCCTGGCTCCCAAGGTCCAAACGGCGGGCATCAAACTCCTAGCTCCCAAGGATGCCTTTCCACTCTTCAACATTATTGAATTCTAAAAGACTAGAACTTCGGAGGGTGGTAGCTATTCATATTTACCACACCTGAGATTAAAACTGAGAAATGTTTAAAATTGTGTTACCCATCAAATATCAACCCATGGAACATACTCAGAACAAATAAGCCTTATTTTCTGAAACAAGAAGTTAGAGGGGAGCGGCGGGCACGCTCTGAGAGCCTCTTTACCGCTGCCTTCCTAGAAGGCAGCTGGCTCTTGTTGGCGTCCTTGCCTGCAGTTCCTCTGCTGCGAAGCACTGGAGAAAACACCTCAGGAGGGCTGCAGCTGGGCAGGAGGGAAGAGCTGGCCCACCCTTCCGGGACTGGTGTTTTTGAAGGCAGGGTCTCTCTAGGCAGCCCAGGCTGGCCTCAAACTCACAGCGATTCTCCTGCTTCAGCCTCCCCAGTGCTGGAATGACAGGTGTACAGCACCACACCTGGCTTGCATTTTGAATTTTGTAACATCAAGCACTGGTCACTGGAAAATGAACGTTTACTGACCTACAGGAACCCTCCAAATGCTGACACTTTCCTGATGTCATCACAAAAGATCCCATGTGCCATGGCCATTAATCTCACCAAAGTGCCGGGAAACTGCCAGGCACTAAAAGGTGCACACAGGTTTCCAAAGTGCTCAACAAACGTCCCCCAGAGCCTGAGAGTGCCAGCTCCTCAGGCTGGGCTTGCAGCAGATGCACCTTGGGGATCCTGTGCGCCTCTGTACCCAACCCTCAGGCTCCGACTCAAAGGTGTCTGCACACACACGGTGCGGGCCACAGGTTCGGCCGTGGCCTCAGTGGCTGTGACAGTCTGCAGCTCCCTGCACGGCTCTGCTTCGCACCACACACTGGGAGAGGTCAGGTGGCTCAGGAGACACTGACGGGAACAGTCGGGAGGCACCCTAAGACCACACTTGAGACCCACGCACTCCAAGGGGATTCGGAATCCTCCAGCAGGCACGGACTCAGCCTGCTGGGCTGGGACACAAAGCTTTCAGGCTCGCCCCTGATCTCACTGTGGGTCTACGCCTGGCCCCTGCTCCTTCCGGTCCATGTGCCCGGCCCCAAGAGGGCAGCTAGGCCCAGGCTGCCAGTGACTGGGAATTCCAAGGGGTAGG